GACGTCCTCGTCCACGCCAGACCGCTTTTTGGGGAAACAGGACAACAGCGACAGGTTGAAGTCGTGCGCCTCCGCCCCGTATGCCGCGCGCAACCTAGCAGCAGCATCTGGTTTAACAAGGTCCCCCATAGCCTCGAATAGTATCTCGACGCCGAGGTCGCCTGCCTTCCTCCACGCTTTGTAAGGGATACCGTCTGGCCCAGGGGCGCCATTGCCAGATAACTTCACGGCCCGTTGCACGTCCCGTCGACGGACCTGCCAGCTTGCCGAACTTGCGTCTCTGAGTCCGCTGGCCACCCGACCCCGCTCATCTCTCATAAAACCGTCCTCCAGCCAACGGGAGAGCAGGGACTGGTCAATGGCCTTCTTGGAGAATACCTTGGACCAGTGCTTGCGCAGAACCCCGGGCATCTCGGCGGGGTCTGCAATAACCTTCCCGTCCTCGTCGGCCATCGCGTTGAACCCGGAGTACGTCCCCGGCTGGAGCCGACGGAGCTTCACAAGAATGTTTTCCTTGCGCCTGGCCTTGTACTGTTGGTCCTCGTTCGTAGTGTCTGCTTGCAGCGCGGTGAGGTCGTCCGTGATGTCCTGGCGCGCGAGCTCGATGATGCGCTCGCGAAGGATCCTCATCTCGCTGGACGCGCGGAGATTCGGATTGCCTACGTCGACGAGCGCGGCCAAACGTGGGTATGCCTTGGCGCACGTCGCCATCTTAGACAAATTCATTTCGTCGGATGCCCGTAAAAACGACATAGCCCAGCCAGTTTATCCTCAACGACGAAAACGAAATAAAAACGACAACGAAAAACCAGAAATACCCCAAAAATAATAAAAAAAATAGTCCAAACATAGTCTGGGGACTATTTTTTGCATTTTTTTTTAACCTTTTGGTTATATTTCTTAGGTATTTTTAACTTTTCGTCGAAAATCCCCCTGTAGGGGGACAGGCCCGACAGAACACTACCCGGGTCCCCTTACCCGGGGTCCTGGCCATACCCGACACCGGTGGCACTCCACCTCTTCAGCGCCCGCGTGGGGGCCGCCGCCGCGCCGGCACGCGAAAACCCGAGCCCAGCGTGTGGAGGCCCCGAGGGGCGGGGGCAGCGGCGGCGACGTACAGGGCAGGTTTTAATACATGGGACTTTGTTTTAAACTATGATTTGTACTACCTGATGAATTTATGCATAAATTTACGCATGAGCTCCTCGTTGTTTGTGATACTACCCCCTGCATGTTTAATACATGATCCGCACGCGGAGCATGTATTAAAAACGGCGCAGGGCAGTCTTTAATACATAGGATGTTTTAAGTATGGGATTTTTGATACATGACTAATGTGGGCATAAACATATGCGTGAACTCCTCGTTTTTTGCTACTGAACCCCTGCATTTCTAATACATGATCCGCACGCGGAGCATGTGTTAAAAACGGCACTGCAGGATGGCTTCGTGCCCGCGGAGGTCCTGCAGGTCCTGCAGGGCCCTCACCAGGCCCTCCAGCCGCTGCTCGCCCTCCGCGCAGTCTGCGTCCGCGTCGGAGTCGACCATGTCCTCTCTCGTGGCCGGGGGCCGGAGAGTGAGAGGGGGCGGGCCTTCTCAGAAAAGACAGTGCCAAGACAAGGACAACATCGGACTGGGATACATCGGTGATCTCTGAGATCTGGCGGGTCTGGAGGATGCATCGGGCGCCGCGGCATCCTCAGGGCGTTCTGGAACGCTCTGAGAGCCTTCCAGAACGCTTAGGAACGATGTGTACCTGTCCTAGCCACGCCCGATCTCAGAAGGTGGCGGGGCTTCTCAGAAGCACTCCTGCCTTCTGAGAAGGCCCCTGTGGCTTCGGAGAGGGCTCCGTAGAAAGGTTCTCAGCCTTCTGAGAAGGCCCGCCCCCTCTGCCTTCCCCCCCGTGCTCGCCACCCAGAGGGAGCAACGGCGGGCTCGCAGCGCGACGGCGTCGACGCTAGCCTTCGGCACCGCGTGAAGAATGGCTCAGCGTCATTGGACGATCGAGCCCTTCCGGACGAGTCCGCGCAGACGGGGTCGGAGGATCCGATGCATCGGCGATGTGATGCGATCCTCCAACCCCGCCTGCTCGGGCCCCCATCGGGAGGCCTGGGGTACAGTCGGGGCGCTGAGGAAGGAACCCTTTTCGTTGGGGAGGGGCTCGATGTTCCTTAGTTGTTTTGCAGTTCGCCTTTGGTTTTGCTTAGGATTTCGATGGGAAATCGATGTTAAACTTATAGGAAAAAGAGGCCTCGTTCCTTATTTAGGGTTCCTTAGGTCAACGCCCCTTCTGTAGCGCGGATCTTTCGGTGTCGCCCGACTCCGGGTCACCGGCGGCACCCAACCTTGAATGGCTGCGCTGGCGTCGCCGCCGCGTCAGGGCAGCGCGAACCTGCCGTAGGAGGAGTGGGAATCCCAGGCCCCCGACCTCGTGATTTTGTTCAAGACGTCGACCCCCAAAAGCCCAGACCCATTCCCTGGGACCGGCTTCTCATTCTGAATCGTTTTCGACGGTCCCGAGGCCCAGGGAAGGCTCCCGGAGGCTGAAAAGAACGAAAAATCTCCCGTCGTTATTTTTGTCACAGCGCGAGGGGGTCTGGGTATGAGAAATGTGAATCGGGGATCTTGGACGCGGTGCGGCCCTTTCGGGCCTTCTGGGGCAGCGCCCTTGTGGGCCTCACGGGTTGCCCTCGGGATTCTGGTCAGAGCGCGCCCCAGCACGGGCTCAGAGGCCGACCTCGAGGAAAAAGGAGAAGGAGGAGGAGGAGGAGGAGGAGGAGGAGGAGAAGGAGGAGGGAGGGGATGAGGAGAAGGAGGAGGAGGAGGAGGAGGAGGAGGTAGATTATGTTGTCTGACTTCGTCGAACGATCTCGGAGGCTATATATGGTGCACCAGGCGTGCCCAGTACGCTTGGGCCACAGGGGTGCCTGGCGCACCTGGCGCGCGTGGCGCGCCTGGCGCACCTCGCCCCGGCGTTGCGCACATGGGCTCTGTCTTGGTCCCCACTAGCAGCCCATCCGAAGACCACCGCTGAACACGCTGCGGCTCGGGTGCTACTTCTGCGCTGAGAGGGTCGGGGGCACGCAAGCATGGATTAGCGATCCATGGATTTGGCGCGCGGTCGCCAAATCCATGGATCGGGGGAGGCGCCCTCCCCAAAATGCGGCCGGTGCCGCCTCGCACGGCGGCGGAAATCCGCGATTTCCCACGGAAGCGGGCACCGTAGCTGATCCACGCCCTCTTGAGCCACGTCTGCGATCGCCTGAGAGGGCGGGTGGAAGTGAGCGAGACGGCCTGTGGGCGGGGAGGGTGTCTTGACCCCTCCCCCATAGCCCCTCCCCCACTGGACGAGGGGGCTCCGCGGCCCCATGGGAGCGTCCAGAGTGGCCTCGGCGAGAGGGCGTACCTCCTTGATGTTCTGTGCGCTTGGGGGCAACTTGGACCTCCTGGGGTGGGGGGGGCCGAATTGACACCCCCCTTCTTTGATCGATCTCCTTGAACATGAACCCGAGATGGCCCCCAAGGCTCCCAAGAGCGCCCCAAGAGGGCCCCAAGAGGCGCCCAGGAGGCCCCAAGAGGTCCCCAATAGGTCCCCGAGAGGCCGCCAAGAGGTCCTCAAGAGGCCCCAGGACTGCCAAGAAGTCCCCAGGGCATCCTCATTATCATCCTCATCCTCATCCTCATTCTCATCCTCATCCTCATCTTCATCCTCATCCTCATCCTCATCCTCATCCTCATCCTCATCCTCATCCTCATCCTCATCCTCATCCTCATCCTCATCCTCATCCTCATCCTCATCCTCATCCTCATCCTCATCCTCATCCTCATCCTCATCCTC